GGGGGGGCACAACAAACAACAGATCAGAGCAATGCGCATCAGCGAGGCTTCCCGCTTAACGCCATCCTTCCCCGCCCTATTCTTTTCCTGCTCTTTGCTCTCCCCAGCTTGCCTTCTCTTTTTTTTTTTAAACAAACAAACAAACAAACAAAAAAAAACAAATAAACCCAACACAACAAACCCACGACACATAGACTCTTGACTTAGCAGGATGTTCCTGTGCTTTCACAGAGCCTCGGCGGAGACAGCGGCGGGGGGCGGGGGGAAAGAGTGTCCTTAGCTGCCCGGCATCGCTTTAATTCCGTCAGGGCTCGCAGGGCCTTGTTGCGCTGGGCGTTACACTTGTCTTCCTGCGGGAAGATTACCCAAAGTGCCAGTCCTGACGCGGAGAAGCCGCCGTTCTCTCTCCCCTGCGTGCCTGTGCTGATCCCCTAGACGTGATCCCAGCGGCCGGAGCAACAAGAGCTGCTTCGGCCCATCGCCAGGCACCTCGGCCTCTTCCTCAGGAAGGCAAATCCCGGCTTTAATACCCGCTTTAATGCCATCTCCGAGCCGAGCGGAGGGAAAGGATTTCCTCGGCCAGAAGAGGGAACTGCTCTCCTCTCTTCGCTCTTCATCCTCACCGCTGTCTCCCTCTCCTGCCTTCCCAAGCTCAAGGCTGAGCTGTGTCAGAGGGGAAGGATTGCTCAGCCCCCACCAAAGGGACATCTGAGGACTTTTGTCCCCACAGCTGCTCCCAGGAGGGAGAGGCACAGCTTCAAACCTCCATTTCCCCCACATTTCGTTTCCTTAACGTGCACAGAGGCCATGGGAGACCCTCAGGGCCCCCCTCCCCGCCCCAGCGGCTGCTGCTGCATTGAGCAGAGGCAGCTTCGGGCTTCCCAGCCTGCTTTGGCCCCGGGGATGGGGGTCTCCCCGCCTGCTCCCACCCGTGATGTCCAGCCAACCCCATCCCAAATCCTCCAGGACTCTGCATGTCCCATCCCTGCCCTTGTCCCTCATCTTCTGGGTGAGCCCCCGGCCACTGCCGGGGACCGTGGGATCTAACAGAGAAGCACCCGCCTCTAATTAACTGAGCTAAAGCAGCACATTTATTAGCCCGACCACAGCAGCCACCTGACAGAGGACCTGGGCAGGGGCCACGAGCATCCCGTCCCACGGGATTAATCCCAGCAGCGTTCCCGCTGCAGACATCGGCTGTGGCACCTCCCCGCTCCGGCGTTATCAGGAGCAGCCAGCTCCCCGGCCTCTCATTTAGAATTTATTCCAGGGGAATTTATCGACCGTGTCACTGGGAGCTCCTTAAATCAGGGGCTCGGCACGGGAAGCATCACGCTGACCAGCCTCCCCGCTCGGTTTTTCTTTTAGGAGAAGGGGAGATGGGTGGGATGGCGGAGGCGGCTCTTCCACCGGCAGCTTTGTGGGGGCACGCGCGAGGTTTTCCCTTCTGCAGCCCCGGCAGCACAAAGGGGGCTCTGTCCCGAGCAAAGCTCTGAGGCCGCTGCTGGTCTTGTTTGGAGGGAAAAGGGAGGGAGGAGGATGGGAGGAAGAGGTCTGTGGGACCAAGGGACACCTGCAAGGGACCATGGTGCCAGGGACGAGGAGGGAGCATCGATACAACCCTGCAAAGATTTATGCTTGGGGGAGAAAAATAAAATTAAAAAAAAAAAAAAAAACAAAAAAAAAAACACAACAAACCCAACAACTTTATTAAGCCACAGCACTGGGCAAATTGAGACCCTTTGTGAAATGACAATGCTAATCGCCAAAGCCGATTACAGAAACCCAGCGGCCTGCCTGCTGCCTTCAGCGGGGCCGGGCACGTTTTGGGGTGGTGGGGGACAGCGGGTGGCAGACGTGGGTTGCTGCTCCTCTTCCCAAATTGTCACCCACTTCCAGAGGATCCCACTCCCGGCAGCTCCAGCATCCCCTCAGAGTGAGGAGGAGACATCTCCGCGGGGCCGGGACAACTCTCCTCTCGCTTTGTTTCTGCACAGAAATTGATAAATGCGACCGGAGGATTTCTCCCCTCCTTCCATTTAAGTCCCATTAATATGAGTTGGATTTGCTTACCCTCCTGACTTTAGACTTTAATTCTGCAAAGTGTTATCACATTAATGGGAGTCAAGGTTGTTAAAGTGACGGATTATTCATTAACGGTGTAATCCATGGGGGGCAGGACCAGCCTCAGAGCTCTCCCCAACACGGGTTGTCTTCTCCTAGTCCTGACAGCCACGAGAAGAGCGTGAGCACCTCCCCCGGCAGCGAGAGGGTGACCCAAGGTCTGTGGGTTTGTGCTGGGGTTCTGCCCTGGGCGGGGGCGCAGGCAGGGAGGGGGATGCTGGCCGAGGGGACGAGGACACAGCCCTGCCTGCGTGTCCAGGGCTTGCGGGGCTGCTGTTCCCCCCACACCCCGCTGGTACCCCAGCTCTGCTCTCTAAGAGATGCTGTATTTCAGGGATTAGCAGCAATCTGGGTCCCACAGGAGATTTATTGACCTCTGGGGGCTCACAGGGTCCCCCGGGGGTCTCGGGGATGGCTGGAAGGCAACACCTCCCCCCTGCTCCCTGTCCTGGGGGGTCCTGCAGCCCAGGGGCTCAGAGGGCCCAGCACATCATCTCCCCAAGCTGCAGCTCCAGTTTGGGGCTGCAAGCTCCCAGGTCGAGGCTTTTCCTTCTCAAGCAGCTGGGGAACTAAATTCCCCGCAGCGCTCACCCCGGGGGGTGCCCACAACCCCCAGCCCACTCTTGGCAGCTCCCGTAGCACTCGCTGGAGGGTTTGGCACCGGGGCTCTGAGTGATGGGAGCCAGGCCCCGGGCCGAAGGGCCCCATAACTCAGCCGTACTGCGAGAGGCACTAAGTTACGGCAGGGCGGCCGCACAGGTACCGCTGGCACATAACTTCCCGGGACTCGCCGGCGTGCTCCGTTTGTTTAGTGCCTTTTGGCTCCAAGGTCCTGGGATTTTGCCCATTTGTTTCCCCACTGCCTTGCAGTTGGGTCTCTATTTTATATTGGTTTTTTTTAACCAGAGCAGAAAAAACGAGGGGCTGCCCGAGCCCTGGCTGGGTCACTGCGGGTGCGTTTGCTGCGGACACGGATGTTCTGCTCGTGTGAAAACCCCGGGTGTAGGGCAGGGCGCCGGCGGGGAAAGGCTGCATTGCTCCTCGCTGCGCAAAGCTGCAGCTGGCTGCACGCTGGCTGCTGCGGGGGGAGCCCTGCAGCCCCATCCTCCTTCAAACGCTGCGCCTGAGCAGGGATTTCCACTTCAGGGGGCCCTCCAAGGGCCCATCTCCGGGGCCTGAATCCCGCTGATGCCATCAGGGCTCCCCCTGGCACAGAGAGGCACATTTTTGCTCCCTCCGAGTGTCTCCTTGAGGATCAGGTTTGCAGGGCTGCTGACAGCAGCCAGCTCATAGCCACCGGCTATAGGAGTCCTTACAACACCCCGACACTGATGGACCCCGACAGCTACACGCAAAACAGAGGCTATTTTTTCCCTCACTGCTGTTTTCTGAACTGATTCTCGCTCTTTAACCTCTGCTGGGGAAACCTGCCCCTTCCCCACCCACCGATGTCCTGGGGCCCAGGGGGGAGGAAGTGGTACCCTGCAGAGGCCCTGAGCAAGAAGGAGCCCAGCCAACACCCAATCTCACTTTGACCCCTCTGAACAAACGCAGAGCTGGTTGTCAAGTCCCAAACCCTCCAGCCTGCAGAGCAGCACTGGGCAGCTGAGCCAGCAGCTCCTCCTCTACCCCGTCCTCGAGCCGTTTTGCAGCTCTCGCTAACGAGAGCGCCTCGGTGACAGCCGTCAGCCCTATCGATCCCCTTCCCTGGCTCTGTCCTGCCAGAGAGAAAGCGATAGTTCAGGGAGGACATGATTCTCCCTGCTAATTGAATGCTCTGGCACGGGGCCCCATCCGGCACGTCGACGGCGCCGATCGATGCCGTGAGCTGCCGTGGAGGCAGCGGATCTGCCTACACGCCCCACACCAGGCACGCGGGTCCTGCTCGGCCAGGGATTGCCAAGCCGTGGCGTGGTTATCCCTAAAATCCAACCTCAGCATGGAGCAGGGAGGGGTTTGGGGACAGGGGACAAGACCCACCGGTGCTTGAGGGTGTCCCAGGGTCAGGGAGTGGAAGGTGCCGTTGGCGGGGCTGCATTATCACACCCCACGGTCTGCTCAGGGGATGCTGCGGCCGTTCCTCTCCTCTCGATGAGTTTTTTCAGAGTTTGCAGCAGCCTAACAGGGGCCGAGCAATTCACCTGGTGGCTCTCGGAGGGGACCATCAGCCCAGCCAGCTCCGTTCGGGATGTGCGGAGCCGAGCTGTCAGGTCTCATGCTCACACACTCGTCAGCCTCCGCAGCCCCAAATTACAGCTGACATTTAAATAAAACCCCACGGCACCTGAGCGAGACGCCGAGCTGAAAGGGAAGCGGTTGGGGATTTTCTTCTGAAGGAACACATTTGTTTTACTCCGCTCTCTCCTTAGTGTCTCCCAGCCCTGGAGCCCCACAGGGTGGATTTGCCGGGCGCATCAGCCCCGGGGCACCCTGGATTTTAGCCAGGGACCCTCGTGGGACAGAGCGACAGACCCCTCCATGTGTGAGCAGCTCCTGGTCCCCATCAGACGACGGGCGCAGGGATGGAGGCAAAGGCAGAGAGGAGAAAAGGGGCTTTTCAGATGCTCTGGGAATGACGTCGGGAAAAGCAGGGTAATGAGGGCTGGTTCCAGTGTCACGCACTCAGCCCTAATCAGGCAATGAAGCAAATTGAGTTTCGCTAAAAGCTCAGGAGCCCGGGCTGAGCTGCCCCCTCCCTCCCCCGCACTCCCCAGTCCGGGGGAATGAGATTTCCATCCACTCCCGGGACGTTAAGTGAGTAATTGCCGTGGTCTGCGCTGGGGCAGGGAGCGCTGGCGTGGATACGGCGGCCTTGGCTGCTGCTTCCCGTGCCTTCGCTGCTCGGGTGGATTAGCAGGACTGGGGCCCACGTCAGGAAACAGAATGAAATTCCTATAGACCGGCACACTCGCCATGCAGGCAGCAGCGGCGGGCTCCGGAGGGGGTCCCGGCCTCAGGCAGGGATCCGTGTGTCCGTGGGGGATGTGGGGACCTGCTGCTGGGCTGGGGTCACCCTCGGTGCTCGGTGCGGGTCCCCTTCCCTCCTCTGTGCACTCTGCATTGGTTAAGCCCATCCTGCCGTGCTGTGAGCAGGATGCTGGGAGGTGTCACATCCCCCCCACAGCCCCCGTGTTCCCTGGGGGGACCCCCTCTGTGCATCCTCCTCCAACGACACCAAGGCTTCGAAGCAAGAAGAGGGTGGGAAGGAGGTGTGGGGTGTGCTGCTGGCTTCAGCTAGAGGAGGGTCCAGCACGCAGCGACTGGGATGGCGAAGGAGCCCCGAGCCCAGGTTTGGCCACTGAACCCCCCCCGTGAAGCTGCTGATAACCACAACAGCGGCGAGGGCTGGGGCGGGGCGCTCTGGGCCAAGAGCCAGCTGAATTTCTGGGAATGCCAGCTCTTCCCTGTCCCTTCTCCTCATTTCTGGGGACAGAACAGCACAAGTGATGCTCAGGACATCTCTGCCAGCATAATCCCAGAAGCTGGTGTCATTTAACAGGGAATTCTTCAATCTTCGCTCCCAAACACGCCCTTCTCTAAAGCAGCTTCGCCTACTCCCCCCTCCACCCAAAATGAACCTCTGCAAGGTTCAGCTGGGTACTGGGAGCTTGAAATAGCAGCTGTGTGGCTTTATTAACTGTTAGGATAATTTAAAT